TCTGATCATTTCTTTGTCAGTGGGCAAACGTACAAAATCAGCAGGGGATCAAATACTTTTTTCCCTCACTATACCTTTGAAATTACATTTTTGTATTAAAGCAGTGTTTGAGTTCGAGAACAAAATAGAGAGTGTGCTCCCTACTAAGCAGGCTACACTACAATACAACCATAGCAAACTCCCATGATTTACAGTGTGGGGAGGAGGCCTTTAAGCAGGAGTGGATGGACAAAAAGCTGATTTGGAAAAAAATGTTTAAATTATATTTTTGCCAGAACCGTAATATCCAACACTGCTGCTCTTTATCGAAGGTTGGCACAAGATCTGTATTGTCCTGTGGTGCTTGCGTGCTTGCTGAAGCAGTGTTTGAGTTTGCGACCAAAAGAGAGAGTGCTCCCTACTAAGCAGCCTACACTACAACTATACTGCTATTAATATGAAGCCTGAAAATGTAGTTATAATTGTATGACCATTCATAGAATTATACAAAGTTAATATACTTGATGTATATATCATAAATGTAACATTGTTAAAATATATAGTGGGCACAGTGGTATTGATTTAACAGAAATATATATAAAATATATGAACTGAGACTGTAACAATCAAATCTTTACAAATTTAATTATCCATGTTTCTTTATTAACTTGTGGGGCCACGTTGTGAGCAGTAGAGGGCACAATTGTCGTACAACCAGAAAACACATTGGTGAGCTGGGGTAGTGCAGAGTACTGTACAGTACTCTGATTCTATGCTACCAGGTCTATGTTGGCCACCTTCACCAACCCGCACAAAACGGCTTGATGAAATATGGTCAAGTAATTCCCATGCCCTGCGGGCATGGGAAGACCCTCATCCAACAGCAAAATTAGAAAAGGGTTGTACATGTACAATAATTAGTATTGACATGTTCACACACTGCAATAGCATTTATAACACGTGCCAAAGCGAACTATTTAGCACACATCTGGATAGGTTGTATATCAAGTCGCAAGTTTATTTATTTAACCAGGTGAGAACTAAAAAAAAACTAGGATAGTCCAATTTTCAAGAGTTATCTGGGGCATCAGTCACTCAGTAGGGGTGATTATTTCTATACATAATCCCATTTGAGTAATTTGCGCAAATTCTTTAATTTGGCAAACTTGGACATTATAGAATTTTGCATGCTTGAACTCTCACGACAACAAACAATAGCCTACCACTGAGAATGACGTCAGGGGATCATTAACGTCCACTGTGAAGCAGACAGCGCACATTATTACGGTTAATAAACCCGCAGTGTTAATCAGGGCGGCCGCTGGATTCGAACAGTGAACATCTGCAACAAGCGGCGAACATGCTACCGTTAGGCCATGTCACTGCCCTGGACTAAGAGCTGGGTAGGAGGCCCTAAAAGATTTACTCCATTGTACATTCTACTATTCAGTTTTTTTTATGAGCAGTTTCACCACCAGAAGGTTGTATACGGCTAATCAATTGCATGCACATGACGGATAACCTTTTTTTATGCGTGCACACCTGGTCTCACAAATTCACTCCACGGTGCTAAACCTTCTTATCAAAGGAATATTACTGCTGTGCAAAGAAAATATACAAATGGGCCAATCAGCACAGCTTGTATTTTCAGTGCCCCCTGTTCCCTATTTGCAATGTTATTGAGAGACTGTGTGTTGTGTCTTGGTGTGGTCTGAGACTGAATTGTTGTTTAGCTGCCTTGCCCAAGCTTTAGAATTGATGTATTATGCGATTTGAACTTTTTGTTGTCATTTTCTGACCTGCCCCTACTGGATATATGTGAACAAGAGCTTCATAGCTGGCAGTTACATCAAGGCACAATTAGTTTAAAGGATAGATCCCTGTGCCCTCCTTCATCTTTACCATTGTACAGTCAATTCTCTATTTTTTCTCATAGACGATATAAATGATCTACTTTGCCAATGGATCCCTAGTTAGAAGAAATCATATCTGTCAAGCTTGTGCATATCAATGCTCAATAGACATAAGACTGAGAGATACTTAGAGTACCGCATAATAGGCCGAGCTATTTAAAGCATTTTTAGCACATCACCAGGGCAATGCAGATAGCATCACATCCTGACGCAAGGATTAAATTACCAACTGGAGATGGTAGAGACAAACTATGCATACCAAGCGATATGAACTGGCCTGATGAGGCATAACAATTAATGAACAGCATAATTGGTCCACTATGACCTTGTGTCTATTAAAGTGGCTTAGTTGTATGACCCATTTACAAACCAATTAAATAACTTCGAGTCACTAATTCTAAATGCATTTTTGTGTTAACACTTCATGTGCCAATACATAGACGATGGCCTTGGACTGTGCGATTCAGTTACTGCTATCTGCAATGTTATTTCACATCAGTGCTTTCTGCTGAATACAGGTAAAAGAAAAACATTAACTTTTGAACTGGCATAAACAACAGTGTACTGTGCTCAACTGCAAGTTGATGTCTATGCTACAAACGTCCCCAGTCTTGAAGGCAACACCAACAAGCGGGGATCTAGCGCCACCAAGTGGTACATTGAGAATAACAAAAAAGATTGACAGGTGCTGTAAAGAATCCTCCACAATATTATAGATATTTACAATTATTATACACATACTCGATCTTTTCAGGAGTGTGAACAATTATGACCCCCACCATGGCCATTTCATAATATCGCAAGGTGGCAATATAATTAAATCTTGGATCATCTATTTGTCTCGTTTTTACGATCTCATTGATTTCTGCATCATCTACCCCATGAGCTTAAATGGAATCACGTCTAACATGCAGAATTACATTTTGCATTCAGAACACTAAAATTTATTTTAAGTGATGTTACAATGGACTATAAAACAATGTTGTCTTATTCTTTGGTTCTTTCGGTAAAGTCACGTAGAATGAGAATAAAATAATAAATTGATAAAATAAAATAACACAATAATATTCTCACGACGTTTCGGCCACAACACAAGCGGCCTTCATCAGGTGAAGGGATGAGACTGTCTGGAGGACAGCGCTGGACAGCACTGGAGTGTCCTCCAGACAGTCTCGTTCCTTCATCTGATGAAGGCCGCTTGTGTTGTGGCCGAAACGTCGTGAGAATATTATTGTGTTATTTTATTTTTTACCGAAAGAACCAAAGAAGATGAATCCTTGCATTCACGAAAGCTTTAAATCGAAAAATGTTGTCATAGCAATTCTAAATTAAAGCACTGTTCATAAAGTTTACTTTCTAAAAATACTCCATATATTTAAAACATGTTCAAACTGTGGCAAAAACAGACAATGAGGGATTAAGGTTGTGAGCTTTATGTCCGAGAGAAATTAAGTACAGACAGTCAATTTACGAACACTCGACTTACAAACACCCACAACTTATGAACCAGCTTCCATGACACTCTACTTTTTAACATTGACTTAAAATGCAAACTCACACTTGCAAACTGAACTGCAAAACTATTTTGTTCAGCAGAGTGATTCTCCGCAAGATGTAATTAGGCGGCCTCGCATGAGGAGTGTTTGTGCGTGTGAAAGTCAATGTATATGTGAAAGTGATTGTGTGTGGCCTTCACGTGGCCTCAAAGTGCACCTGGCCTGGCACAGGCGCCATGGTGACGTTACCGTCACTTCGTGGCGAATGGTGGGTTTTGGTGTGAAAGTGAGTTTGTTTTTTGTGCGGGGAGCGGTAATGTAGAAGTTGTGCTACCAACCCACAGACCTGAGTTCGATTCCTGTTCACGACCAACACCTGTGACGATTATCTGAATGGGTCCTGAGCCTCCCCTAGGTCGAAAAAAATCTCTGAAGCCATCCAGATATATAAACAGACACAATTTCAACCGAGAGGATGGGTACAAACTGAGCAATCATTGGAAGGACGTCATTAACCAGGTAAAGTCTTAACTGACTGTGATGTTTCCATCCTACCTGCCAATGTCAACTGTTATTTCAGACTCTCCGTGTCTCTCTCTCTCTCTATGTCTCTCTCTTAAATCTCTCATGCTCACGTGTCCTTTACATTGCACTCTCATGCCTTTGTATTGCACTCTCATGTCCTTTGGATTGCACTCTCATCCTCACATGCCCTTTGGATTGCACCCATTGGGTTGTACTCTCATGCCTTTGGATTGCACCACTCTTCGATTTTACATTAACATGCTAATTTCTCACATTAACATAGCCACTTCCGTGCCCTCGTCGAGGAGGCCGCTCTCCGATCTTACATTTACATGCTAATTTCTCACATTAACATCACTAGCCCCGCCCACTTCTTTACGACCCTTTGGCTACACCCATTTCAAACCTTTTAAAACAGTCTGCCTCAGCAGCAGACCATCGCTTTCCCACCTGATGACGGACGCTTGTGTTGCGCCCGAAACGTCGTGATATTTTATTTTATACCAACGTGACTTTACCGAAAGAACCAAAGAGTATGGATTCCTGCAGTCATGAAAGCTTCAAATTAAGAATGTATTACAGTAATAGATGCAAATGTACTATCATTCTTATTTATGAGTTTCACAATGCTTCCCTTTTTTGCTGAACCATAACACATTTCATAACACTGACAATGGGGATTTAGAGTACATTGTGTTCCAACTTATGAACAGGTCTCGTGAATGAATTATGCTCATAAGTCGAGGACTGCAGTTTATGCAATTTACTCTCGATAAATAAAGGAGTTCCTGACAGTTTGATTGGGCTGAATTATATAATGTCTCTCAAGAATTAATGTTCAGTTGCACTGACGTTTATCTTTAAAAAGTAATCAAAACAATATCAAACTAAATTCTCATTTACGGCATACTGGCGTGTTAGGTGGACTTTCCTTCTGCAGACATAATTATGCAAGTTGTCTTTTGTTGGATAAGTAAATTAACTTGGAAAGATGAAAATTTCAATCATTATTTCTGTAGGTATCCGAGCACTTGAAGCACTAAATGTATCAGCAGACGGGAGAGCGGACAGTTCAGTGATCGCTTACCGGCAGAGAAAACTCCTGTGCAAGATACTTGAGCAAGGCAGCCTGATGGGAGAGGAGCTCGGATCGCTCAGCGACCCCCGCAAGAAACCGCAAGTCGATCTCCTTGCGCAGGACCGAGGCAACAGAGTCCAGCACCAACAGACGTACGCGCTTGGCTATGAGCTCCTCTTCAAGACTCTCCAGCCTACTCCACATGGTCACAATCCATCGCACAGCTTTGTGATAGACTGCTTGTTTTGCAGGATTCTGTATTGCAATTTAACCTTTCATTTTAATTGGTATTCACACTTTGGAACTTGTATTACTCGTGTTATGATTTTATTTAACTCTTGTATTTTAAAAATTCTGCATCTCCATCTATTACACAAGAATCGGTTTACTGTTACAGGTCTCCTTTGCAAAGTAGACTTCTGGTCTCAATGGCCTCTTACCTGGTCTTACATATTGAGATTGTGTATTGTGTAACAACCACACTTTTATAAATGTGATTTTTGTTGTCATCATACAGTACTTTTCACATGTCAAAATATTTTCATACATTAAGAGTGACAGTGGCAACACCTGCTGTGGGGATTTAAAAATGCATAACATATCTCTCTAGCTCTCTTCATGTGGCTATTTCTGTTAATATAGTGCCTTTTACGGCAGGATCCAAATAACTCAACAGCCACAACTAAAAATCAGAGGCAGGTACACTATTTAAAGGCTTGCCCAGCAATTCATGATTGCTGGAATTGTGCAGAGCAGGAGTGTGCAACCTTTGGGTTGTGGGCCAGAAACGGCATGCACCACGGTTTTGACCGGCGAAAGGTACACGAAGGCTGGCGAGCAACTTGGTGGACTGTTCACCGCACAGATACTACCGTGACGGCTCATGGGTGGGCGGGATATATATTTGCAACATCGTCAGAGCTCAAAAAAGGTTGCACAGCCTTGGCATCGAGTGTGTTGCATATATTTACAGGAGACTGATGTATTCATGTTGCAAATTAAGTGAAGTGTGAAGTACCTGCTCAGGACGCTCTGCGTAGTGAGCTCTCTGTATATGTGCACACGGTTGGTCATGGCAATGACGTGCTCATCTGTGCAGAAATACTCTGGGTGACGACCTCGAGCAATCTCCACTAACCTTTATAAATATACAGCACACGGACACCATTAAATAAGCCACATTTGTAAAACTCAACCAAGTAAAGTCAATAATTTTGCTTATAGAACTTTAAAAATAAAACTATAAAATGAGAATTGTAAACAGTAATTCTCATTGTTGCATTGAAATGTATCAGATTTCACATCAAAAACTCAATCTTCCAAGCTGTATTTCCAATGAATAATTTAAAGACACGATCTGAAAAATATACTGTAGATATGTATTTAGACTGTGGAGTGATAGACTGTTCAACACAAGTTTGCAGATCCCTCAATAGAAGAAACTGCATTATAGCACTCTTGTGACATTACTGGTAAACATGGAAATATATCAAAGCCGTGATGTCACAATAACACTATACAGTCGCCTGATTTTAAGTCTTTTTTTCTCATTAGCAAAGTTATACTTTCATGTTGGGCAGCATAGAACACGCAGCCTACGTATGTAATATACAAGCTTGTAGATACATATTTATTTTAGGGTGGCATCTTCCTTAAACTCTCTGGCCTCATCATGTAAATGTCCAATAAACACCTCTCTGCGGAGAAGGCCGACTCAGTGTCGATGTAGATGACTCCCCCGTCCAGTCCACCCAGGGATGCTGGCAATGTAGCCAGAGCACTCAGCATCATACAGAACTGCGTTTTTCCACAGCCGGATGGGCCAGCGACCTAAGGGAAGAGCAACATAAATTAGACAAACAACCAAAAACAGGTCCTCTAGTCAAGCATATGGCATTGGGATAGGGGGGCTTACCTACCTCAGTGATTGAGCCACAGGGAATGCCTCCTTGTAAATCCCTGTCAAGTGCAGGAAGGGATGTGGCAAAGAATGCAGCCATGGGTCTATCCCTCATCTCCAATGCCTGTTTTGAGAAAATGTGGAAGCACAAAACATTTGTTAAAGTCAAAAAACAATATGGCATACTGCTGTTATAAGTTAGACATATAGCAATACACTTTTCCCCACATTAGTATATGACTAGGGTCATAAAATGATTAAAATTTAAGAATCAAGTGTTTTTGTCTTGTTTATACTGTTTTGTCTGTAATATTTCGATGTCTGTATTGTATAGCTCTCTCACATTTGAACATGTCTTATTTGCTATATCTTAATAATTCTAAACCTAAATAAATGTTTTGCATACAATGTACATAAATAAACATTAACTAATTACAATATGCATTATTTCATGCATGTATTCGGAGGGTAAGAATCAATTTCAAATTGTGAATCGTTATGTGCCCTATTATCATGTTTTTGTATTGTTTCTTGTTGTAACGTTCTTACCCGCCCCTACTGGACAGCTCTCGAAAAGAGCTTTATAGCTCATCGGATTCCTCCAGCATAAACAACTATTCTGATTCTGATCACAGGTGTCCTACAAGTGCAGTGTCCAGTCGGACTGGGGTCAGGGGAGTCAAAGGACGCACGGTAATCACGCGGGGTGCGCAGGCCCGGCTCACGACCCTCGCGAGCTGCCGCACCGTGGCATAGCTCTTGCCCGTGACGCGCAGCAGCTCCACCGAGGACAGTGACAAGAAGTCCTGAAAGGGAATCCAAAAGAGAGCGGTGTCAGTTTAATGCAAAGGCTTCCGAGACATCTGGCCACTGTTACACACCTGTCAACACCGTATCAGTGCCCTACCTTATTACAGACCAATTCAGATCTTATTGGTCACCCCGTGCCCTTAGAAATCTCAACGTTCATCCTAATAAGTCCCGACCAATGCCCTTGAGCATAGATCGGGCTCTCCCACTCTTTGAAATATCTGCCTGTCGGCGTCGCTAATTTCGCCTTCTTTGCCGCAGGAGGTAACGCTGCCATTGTCGCTTTGCTGTGGTGTGGCTTGTTTGGAAAATCGGATGTGGAAGTGTAGCTTGTGCGCATGATCTGTACCGAGCGCGTCTTAATTCCGGATCAAATTTGTCGGCTGAAATGGGGATCGCTACTCTCCCGAGTAAAAAAAAGCTGTCCCACGACTTTTTTTGGGTATTCATCTCAGGTGAGGTGACCTGATAGTCGAGTGTGTTCATGTCCATGAGTTAAAAAAAAGCTGTCCCACGACTTTTTTATTTATTTGGCCCTATTATTTTTGTTCACCCGTATTGAAACGTCTATACACCATATGCACCTGAAAACTCAATTTCCCTGTACAAGAATACGGATACATCGTATGGGTTGACAGGTATGTATTCACAAGAGGTTTTTTTTCCCGGTTAGTATGTATGTTGAACTTCTTTCGCACCGCACTTAGCCATTAAATAGAAATGTGTCGTTAACCCACCACCACCTGATAGCCAATTTGTCCGGTTTGTCACGTAAACAAAACGTGACAATTACTTACGACTTCAGCGCTGTTATACTTTGTTGCACAGCAATTCCGCAGCGTGCGTTTTGTATGTTTATTCTTTTTAGGATCCTGGAAGTGTATTGTGATATTTAATCAACGTCCTTTATTTATTGCCAAACGGTTTTAGTAAACGTGTGAACATCTTAAGCTTTAGCGATCCAGTGAAGTGAAAGCTGATATACAGCATGATAAAACTACCACACGTTTGTTTGGTAACTTTGCACTTTAAATATGCATGCGAAATACACAGTACTGTATTAAAAGCAAGTAAAATCTGGATCTTTTGGTGTTCAGTGGTGAAAGTGCCCCCGATCAGGTGATACTGCCCCCACAGGTCATTATTCGTGTCCAGCAGGTGAGGTGACCTCACCAGAGCGAGTTCATTTTTCTGACCAGTTGAAGTGACCTGGCAGGTGTGTTCATGTACATCAGATGATGTGTGTACGGGTTTTAAAAGTTGTTGCTCACACGGTGGAGGCAACCTGACACCTGGGTATTCATCTCAGGTGAGGTGACCTGATAATCGCGTGTGTTCATGTCCATGAGGAGAGGTGGCTTCACAAGCGTGAGGGTTGTGGTTCACCAGGTGAGGTGATCTTGTTGGCGAGTGTTCATATCCGGCGAGTGTTACCTGGCAGGTCTGTTGATGTCAATCGGGTGAGGTGAACTTACAGGTGTGAGGGTTGTTGCTCACCAGGTGAGGTGAACTGGCAAGGGGTGAGGGGATTGTTGTTCGTATCAGGCGAGTCACCTGGCATGTGTGGATGTTGTGCTTGGACAGTCGCTCGCACACATCCGCGGGCACGCCGGTTCTCCGCAGCTTCTTCCACGACATGGTCGCTGGGTCATAACATCACAAGTTCCTGATAAAACAAAAAGCAAATGGCAAAACAAACAATATAATTCACCACAGGGTCGTGAGCACACAGGCGGGCTGAGTGCGAAAGACCTCCCCCCCGGCTAATTTAACGCCAATGAACATTCGGCCGACGCCCATTATAACGAAATAAATCCAGTGATACTTTAGTAAGGAAACACTGAATGTAAAGCCACCTGCGTCCGTCATGTTAATTCATGTTGCCTTGGTGTTTGTTATCCGTCCCTTGTCATTTCGTCGATCGTGAAGGAGACGAACATCCTCCTCCCTCGCCTCACGAAGCCCAAACCACACAACAAACAGGCAGCACACGAACGGCGACCACTTTCGTCGATTAATCGCGACGAGGCTTGTGAGGATGCGCGCTTGTTAATGAATGCTGCCGCGGCCGTTGTTATTGTTGTCGTCACGGTAATGAGATTAAGTCGTTGTTAAATGTTTCGTTGTTTTTACCTCAAGATTCCCGACGCGGGCCCATTGGCGTTTCTCTCTTATGAGGAAACTTCCGCCGCACGTGAGCGGTCAATCGTAACGCGGGCGCCCACAACACAACACCTGGGCGCTTTGTGTTTCGACGTGGATGCGTTTAATTCGCGCGCTCACGGTGTGCAAGTTAATTGCAGCATATAAATCGTAGAGGCGATTACCGCGTTGGGGCAGAGTTTCTGAGGCGAGGTGTGGAGGGGGTGGGGGGTGGAATTTCGGGCGGTAAACGAGACCGCCGCGTGACGTCACCGACGAAGCGCGCCCCGCTGACGTGACGTCACGGCGTAGGCTTCGCTGCTGACGTGACGTCACGACGCTCGCAGAGGAGGCGAGAATGTCGAACAAGGAAAAAAATACCGTCACGCCTACAAGGGGAAGCCGTGACAGCACGCGTCCGGTTTCCTACAGATTACGTCATACCCAACTGGTTTCCTACAAATTACGCACGCATCGCCTGAACCAAGGGGGGGGGGGACGAATTTTGATTTAAAGCTTTCGTGACTTGCAGGCATTCATATTCTTGGTTCTTTCGGTAAAGTCACCACGTAGAAGGGAAGCAATAAAATAATAAAAAATATAAAACAAAAAAATGATCACGACGTTTCAACTGCAACACAAGCAATCATCATCAGGTGTGAAATCCACAGCAAGAAAATTAGAAAAAAGTGGCGTTTTTTTTACAGCGTTGGTGTACGGTGCTTTTTTCAGGAATATTTTGCTGTTTTTTTTCCTGGATTTTCTGTTTGCACACAGTCACATAGTCACTTTAAGATGTTTTTCTTGTTCGTATTTTTTGTTTGTTGCGGTTGCATCCGATTCAAGAGCCGAATGGCTCACAGGGCTAGACCAAATACATGGAACTGAACTGAACTTTAGATTTAAAGCTTTCGTGACTGCAAGGATTCATCTTCTTTGGTTCTTTCGGTAAAGTCACGTAGAATGAGAATAAAAGAATAAATTAATAAAATAACACAATTAAATTCTCACGACGTTTCGGCCACAACACAAGCGCTGTCCTACCAGACAGCCTCGTCCCTTCACCTGATGAAGGCTGCTTGTGTTGTGGCCGAAACGTCGTGAGAATATTATTGTGTTATTTTATTTTATCAATTTATTATTTTATTCTCATTCTACGTGACTTTACCGAAAGAACCAAAGAAGATGAATCATTGCAGTCACGAAAGCTTTAAATCGAAATACAAGTGGCCTTCATCAGGTGAAGGGACGAGACAGCCAAGCTTGGCTGTGTTCGCTCCAGCGCTGTCATCGAGACAGTCTCGTCCCTTCGCCACTTGTGTTGTGGCCGAAACGTCGTGAGAATTTTATTGTTTTATTTTATTAATTTATTTTATTCTCATTCTACGTGACTTTACCGAAAGAACCAAGAACAAGGGAGAACGGTTACAAGTTGAGCGGCAGTGACGTCATGTCACTGCGGCTCTAAACTTGGTTTTGTTCGTTTCTCGGCGTGACGTCAGGCCTTCATGTTGACGTCCCCGCACGTCAGTGACGTAATTAACATCCTGCTAATCCAACACATTAACACAGCTATACTCTTTGGTTCTATTGGGTAAAGTCACGTAGGTAAAAAATAAAAATATTTTAGGTAAAAAATTAGGTAAAAAATAAAAATATTTTTTTTTATTTTTTACCTACGTGACTTTACCCAATAGAACCAAAGAGTATGGATCCTAGCAGTCACGAAAGCTTTAAATCTAGAATTAACACAGCTACTTCAACGCTAAATTCTTCTGTTGATATGTAAATTCCCTTTGTCAAGGCGCTCTGCTCCTCCCACCCAGCTTAAAAGACGCTGCCAAGCTTAGCAGTGTTCACTGAAGCGCTGTCTTCCCGACAGTTCTGTTTCTTCACCTGAGGAAGGCTACTTGTGTTGTGGCCGAAACGTCGTGAGAATTTTATTTTTTATTTTATTTCCATTCTACGTTACTTTACCGAAAGAACCAAGAAGATGAATCCCTGCAGTCACGAAAGCTTTAAATCGAAATTCAGCCAGTGTGTTCCATTTGGGGGCCGTCCATAAATGACGTCACGCGATTTTGGACGATTTTTGACCCCCCCCCCCCCCGATTTTTGACGTAATTTCTCACCCCCCCCCCTCTTCGTCACACATCGTCACAAATGTCTGACCCCCCCCCCCCAGGTGCGTGACGTCATTTATGGACGGCCCCTTATCACTATTGTGTAGAATGTCACAAATGTGATAAGCAGTACCTCCATCATGTCACCAGTCTCTCCACATAAAAGGAAATTACGCGATTCGTGGACCCCACGGAATGGATTCTGAATCAAATCATAATTTTGAATCAGGTCGAGATCGCACCTAAGCCTGCGACGCCTCGAGTGTGTACGATTGGGATGTATGTGCGTCATACCACACACGTTACAATTCATATGCTGAGTGATCGGCATCCCTGCAACCACGAATGAGCATTACAAATCACAATGTAAAAAAAATGTGGAATCGATTGACTTTGAATCCAAATGACAATCGCATTGTTGAATCGTTCCATTCATGGATGGAAATCAAACTGGCCCGAGTTATATTTTCTGATTTTTACCAAAGTGTGCGAGCTACTGCACCACCGCTCCCCTCCATAATCCACACACATTTCTAAAATAATGCCACGATTTTTATGCTCGCACACATCCAGACATTCAAAACACACCAGACATTCAAAACAAACCACACACACACGTGTACTCGGCCCCATTTTCCACGTTTTGGCGATTCAGGTCACCATTGCAATGCCGGTCTCTCAAGAGTTCTCACGTGGTTCATGTGCCATTTTAGAGGGACTGCGTGTAAGCTTGGCGTGATCTGGGACTGTTTTGTTGTTTATGCTGTCTTGTATAAGCTTGATAAAATAACACGGTTGATATTTAGTGACTTTAGCTCTATATTGCAGTTTTTTTGTATTGTTTGCTGTTGTAAAGTGCCAAACCACCCACACTGGACATCTGTGAGAGGAGCTTCATCGATCATCGGATTCCTCCAGTCTAAATAAAGATCTGGATTGAAACAAAAAATAAAACTTGAACAGCAGAGACAAGTTCACGATCAGTGTCAGTCTTTAATAAACTGATGAACAGCACACGTGATGCGTACACTTAGTATGTGAGGAATAGGACGCACGCACATCTCAAAAAGGACTCTCGCCTGGTTACCGAGAGCCTCTAACCCACCCAACGGGTCTGCCTTACCACAAAGTGCTCCACCTCGAGAAGCTTTCACCCAGATAATATAAATGATCTGCCTGTATGAGAACTAGTACAGTAAGGAAGTGTTTAGACAGGCCATGGACACCGGTTGTTGGGATTAAGTGCTATCTTATCCCTTCGTATTGCAAAAAGTATTCTTCGGGCTCTCAGGATTTCTCCCAATAACGAGTCAAACAGACACAGACAGGACCCTCTGCTAAGTATATCTAATTCGGCGAGGTCTTGCTGGATTCCTACCAGGCAGTTCTCCATTGGATTCACCGTCACAATTGTACATTATCTCCTTTGTAAAAGGCATGAATTGTAATTGGCTCTCACCGCTTGCATTCGCCATCGCGCCACCTGCCACTTACAATTTATAGACGTTCAGAGATTACAAAAATAGAGCGTTAATATTCTTAAACCAATAATACGATCAGCTTAACGAAGCCAATTCAATAAGAAACGATCGTTGGCATTGCTGCATCCTCCAACTTCAGCCCTGCGACAAAACTCCAGCAATGTGCAGCACCAGCAGAGCACGAACTTTGCCAATGTTAGTACTTGTTTTACTTTTTATTATCAAGTTCCCCGTTATGGGGGTGACACAACAGAGGCTCTTTTGCAGGTTGGTGAATGAAAAAATTTGGCACTGAAAAATCTTGGCACACCTCCCTTAGTAGGGGCATTTATAAACGTAGCCATTGGTTGTTGGTGGAGTTTACCCGTTCACGATTGCCCAATGTGTAGGCTACGTGGTCACGACTCGCTCATAATAGGCCAATGGTCCAGATCACCACTCGCTCCGAATAGGCGCATGTTCCAAACCACCTGGTTGCAATTGGTCACTGGCAAAGACGACTCGGTAAAGCCAACCCTTAATTGTAGCTGAGGGCACTTGCAGCCAATGCGCAAGTATTTTTTTTACAGTGTGCCAAAAATGTACATCGCGCGACTGCCAGCGAGTGGAGTGGTTAAACTTTGCATTCATTTTGGCCGCCCCAGTTTCTACTGACGACCGCAGTGAGAGGTCAGCCCGGTCAGAGCAGCACCCAATGCAGACCCACTCGTCACCCTGCTGCATTCAATGCATTCCTCCCTTGATAAGAACTGGCTGGTAGCTGGAACATTTAGATCGCGGCAGCAGGTATTGACTTTCTGGTAATCGTACATGGAAAAAAAGACGACACCGGGTACACGGGGACACGTACGAGAGAGCATCGCACTAGCATCTGGCAGGCCAAAAAGAGTTCCTATTGCCAAGGCATCCAATCCAAGACTGCTCAGCATTACCCGGCAAACACAGTGAAGGCATTTTTTTTTAATAAGCCACAAACACACCGTTTGGGCAAGTGCTATTAGTGAGCCCCTCTAATATGGTCAGCACGGCACATAAGACGACAGTGCGTTGATCACGATGCCCATCTCAGAGCCCCCGATGCTGCAGTCGTGACACCGCTGCAAAAGCCTTACATTTAATTTAGGCAGACTCGACCTAGAGAAGTCACAGGCCCGATTCGAACACCTAAATGACAATGCTGTGCAGGCTCAAGAATTGGAAGGAGATCCACTGGGGATTGTGGCACAGCGCATTCACCACGACATCACCACCACCACACACAGACACGGCACAGTAACACTGAACAAGGTGGTGGGGCCACACGCTCTCACGCAGCACAAGGCACGTGGCAGCGACACACCGCTGCCCTAGACAATTGTGCGTCTTCGCTCTACATTCATGCCCAACCCTGACGATGGCTCCTCTTACATCCTCGCGACAAAACCCAATAGGGGGGGGTGGGGGTTAGCGTCAGCCTACCGGACTTAAGGCGTTCACTCAAATCGATCGCAGAATATAAATTCTTGGAGTAACGAGAAAGCTTGACCGAAAAAAAAATATTCAAAACGACTATCGTCACACACAGCAAACGGGGAAGCGACACTGACGACTCGGCGCAGACTCGCCAACGGCAGCAGGAAAGAAACGAGGCAAACGCCAATCTGCATACAGCTTTTAAAGGCTGGCGGTGTGGTAAACGACTCGGCTACCCATAAGGCCCTGCTCGTGGCTGACACACCACGGAGGGCACTTCCTGCACACACCCACATGCTCGCACACACGTGCACACGCACGCCCCGATGGTTCGGTGGCCAATCACAGCGTCGAGGCACTCCGCACTAGCTGCGCACAGCAAAACGAAGCAACGAAACGTCAACACTGAACGTGTAACACCCGTGCCAAGTCGCCGACGCTTTGGATACAAATTGAGTTTACGCTCGTGTAACCGCACTGACAGCTAGACGCTCATGTCTAATACTGCTACAAGGAGATTCTGCTCTGAAGACAGCCGCCCCCCCCCCCCCCCGCCATCGTCGCCCCTCGTCTGCCACGACCTCACACCACCGAGCCAGCATCAGGAAGGGGTCACGGGGTCACAACCGCCGGGTCATCTACGCAAGGGGGTGGTCGGGCCCCGGCACCCAGCCCTCTTTTCTCCGCAGCTGCCAGTAGTTGCTGTACACCTCATCAAAGAGGTGCTTGCAGGGGAAGGTGGAGCCGAGCTTGACACAGATGAGGAAGGCGCCCGACATTTTGCGGTGCAGAGAGTAGCTCTCCTCGGGCGGCGGGGAGAGGCGGTGCTGCAGCATAGATGGCATGAGGTTGTAGACGCGCATCGTCGTGTTCTGCGTGCCGAACTCGAAGGGCTCGTCCTTCGCAAACGCCTCGCCCAGGATCATCACTGCCTCCACGTGCATGCGCGCCACCGGCTGAGCATGTCCGGGGGTGGCGGCGGGAAGATGCAGCAACACAATAAAAGGGTGAGAAGGGGAGATGTTGGCGGACGCGAGGCGAGATGGAGCGACGTCGAGTACAGCAAAAGCTCAGTTCTCCCGGCACTTTATCATTCGGGATGCTCTATTAACCGACATTTGTCATAGATGGCAATACAAATCTTCCTTAACGTACGTGGAAAAATTCTGACAACCACCTGGCATCTTGCCGTGCGCTTCTCATAGACCCATTGTTTACGGAAGCTTCAGGACACTGCCGAATGGTGCCGGTCACAGCAGCCTCTACATACAGTACTATACTACTGTATACTGAACTCTAAACAGCCTCACTGCTTCCTCTGCGATCAACAGAGAATGCCTTACAACTGACTGGTGTCTCTGTAAAACAGTATATTATTTCTTATATCATAGTTAAAATGTAGGCTTAGTTTCTTTCTTGAAAAGTTGTGTACGTGGAAATTTCTTGTGAACCATAAGCAGAAGTGTCAGTTAACTGGCATATTTGACGACTTGACACAATTTTCACACCATGGATGCCAGATAAAATAGCGTTTGCTGTACGTGGGATGCAATGACCCGCGGAGCACGGAATGGGATCCCCACTGCTCTGTGGCACGGGGCAAAACGTGAAGACTAAGGGGAAACGTGTGGCAACAACGGCGAGATGGCGAGACGGGATGGCACGTGATAAGGAGACGTCGAGGATATGGCAGACACAGGGCGAGGCCATATGGCATGGAGCTCCATGTGACCGACACAGGGCGACACAGGAACATGTCACGAGAAGGGAGGGACGAGGGGAGAGAGACATGAAACATTTAATGCACAGAGCAAAGAGATGGCCAGGTGAATGAGAGTTTGGTAGAGCGAGGGAACGACGGGGAGAAATATGGGGAACCACACCTGGGTCTCATATCCCGTCAGGTACTTGAGATCCTGCAGCTTCTTTAGGACCCGATCGCGGTCATCCAGGGCGGCTGCCCGCACCACCTGCCGCGCGAAAAAAATATCCACAGAGGTGTCAAACGGACCCCATCGGCGATGGACAAAGTGACCACACGCCACCCATGGCGAGCGACTGAGTGGGGAATCCATCCGTTGTCACGCGACCTCGCGCTCACCTCGATGTAGTCGTCCGTGAACTGCACTTCGTATTCACGGCTCGCCCCGAAGTCGAGCAGTGCCACCTGGGGTCACCGAAGACAAAGATCACACAAAGATAAAGGCAACGGATTGCCCGTGCAGCCTTTAAAACAGGCTGTTTGGGGTAAGTGCTGCTAGTGACCAACTACAAAAGCCGGCACACAGCACACGAGGGGGTGCCACTCCTAGCCGCATTTGTCTCCCCAGTGCGAATGTTTATGCACCACGCCCAGTTGACCGAGGGGAGACCCAGGGCCGATTCAGATATTAGTCACCGATGATCAACACAAACATACATACACGTGCGCACACATGAATGTGACGTGCATGTTTTCAGGACATGCGAGGGCAAACTTGTGCGTTACCAGTAAGAGTGGGGAGGGGGGGGGGTCGATAAAATGAAAGGGAGACAAGGCAATGGGTATCTGGATGACATCAAAGTGGTTTCGTTTCCAAGGGTAGAGGAAGTGCGGCATGATACAATGAACGGCAGGAAGAAATGGATTATCAAAACCGTGGTCGCCCTCCCCTGGATTGGAGAGGACAAAGCGATGCTGAGAATCACACAAATGACCCAATTCAAGACTACAAGGCAAATACACTCTCCGTGAGTATACGGATGACCGCACGCACGCGCGCTCACACACACACACAGCGAGGAGGAGGCACAGCGGAGCGATGTGGGGCATATAGGCGGTGGCCTTGCCTTGCACGTCTCCGGGTCGTACATGAAGTTGGACCAGTTGGGGTCGGTCTGCATGAAGCGGAACTCAAACAGCTCCCGCAGACACAGCCGCAGGATGTTTTCTGAGATCTGTACAAGGCACATTGGGGGGGGCGGGTGGTGGGGGGGTAGTAGGGGGGGGGGGCAGGCCGAGATTTGAGAACCTCGTTAGTCCATCATGCCGTCGCCTCCCAAGCAATTACATCGTGGTGCGCTGTGGCAGGGGAACCCCCCCAGTGGAAGTTATCGCCGAGGCACAAGGTAAGCGCAGCACCGATGTGGGTGCACACGTGTCCATTCGTCTGCAAATACAGAGCGATGCAGCTGTGTGGCTTTTCCAATGAAGTAATTTTCCATTGTTTATCAAACGACTGACAATGATGCTGGCCCAGATGTCATGAGATCTCTAAACGACCACTGTAAATCGAATCCCCAAACAGAGTGGAGGCTCTCTTGATCGACTGGCTTGTTAACTTTTGTTGATAATACTAAGGAGGTGCAGTATCTAATTCTACAGGCATGTCGCAATTCAACCCCTGGAAATTCATAATTCAGGGTCGCTTCAAAGAAAGCCACTTGGCCATTAGTGATGCAAGCGACTGCTCGGTTTACAGGAAGCGAGCGCATGCAATATCGCAGGCAATTTTTAAGGCATCTATTCACACGTATGCTCACGACACACGCGTCATCAGACTGATAATCGGAATGGCCGAACGCCTGCGCTGAGAATTGAAAGTAAAAGACCATGCGCGAGGGTGTGGCATAGTTTGCCGCCAGCCATCAGAGGGCGGTCGTGTCGTTAAGAGTCCTCTGCGGCGAGTCCAAAGTCTTAAAAAAACAGCGTCGCTATGCCAGCCCCCCCCCCCGCCCCCCCACAAACCTTGTTTTTCTCGTGCTGGGGCAGGTCCTCCGTGTTATCGAGGGGAACCCCGGGCACCATCTCCGTGGTAAGGACACGCGCGCTGCTGAGCTGCTCCACCACACGTGGAACGGTGAAATAGGGGTCGTCCTTCAGCAGCTCCCTGCCAGCCGGAGTGGGGCGGTGGGGGAAGGGGTTCATTTGTGAAGTTGGGTTGGTGGATCACGTAGAGATCGCCATGTGTATAGTGAAACCCGCTAGCACCGCTTACGCCACGAGGTGGCCAGAATGATGGTAGTACAGCAAGTAGGTTGCTGCTGACTTGTCTGTGTCGTGCATTGCCGAGTGCTGTCGCCAAGTACGTGTGGGTGTGCGTCGGGTATTTAAGTTTATTGCACCAGTTAAGTGACGCAAACTCAGCGCTTGCATCAACAGGTGCTCGCTAACAGCAACTGCTCCAACAGTCAGTTAAAGGCTACACGGGGGATCTCTGTATTATTGCATTTCTGTGCGTGTGCATACATGTTGCCGGGTGTCGTGCGTGTGAATTCGGTGGTGCTGTGTCCACGCAAGCAGGTGTATATCTGTGTGCAGTGTGCACGACTTAGGTACCGGAAGCGCTTGCAGCACCGCGCCTCGCGCTCGTAGTCGCACTCCCAAGCGAGCTCCTTGCCCAGCACCTCCACCACGTTCTCCGCGAAGAGCCCTGGTGGCACCACATGGCACGATGCGCGTCAGACGATCGCGTGGCAGGCACACTTCGCACGCCGCCCGCCAGGACGCTCATTAACACACTACCACTGTCTAGGCTCGTAACGATGAATCGCTTCCACAAACGTCAACATTTAAACTCCCGATGCAACTCCTGCGTGGGAGAATTTTTTTATTCTATTCCGTCTTGTATCATGTTATATATAGGTCAAGGGTTCAGGTCACCATTATGGTGGTGAGGTTCCATCGACAAAAACAAATGCAAGACTAATGCGTCGAATAGATAAACAGAATTATTATCCGAGAAGGCATTTGTTTATATTTTTGGCCGAGTGTCTCTTTATGATCTTCACCCAATGGACACTCTCGCTCTGCCTGGGTGCGACCCCTGACCTCCCTGCTGACGCCCAACCCCAAGGAGAGACCCACCTTCGGGCAGCACGTTGCTCACCCTCAGCATCGTCATGAGGTTGTTGATGTCACTCTTGATGCTCTTGGCGACGCCCGGGTACTGGAACACATGCGGCACGACACCTCGTTAACCCTGAAACGCAATCGTCACCATCGTCGGGCGTGCAACCATTCAGATTCGACAATTACAATAGATTCTTAGGTTCAAGACACACATTGGGTCGTGTGTACGAGAAGTGATTATGCACCGTGCAAGCTAATCATATGAACATGAGATGCGAATAATTATAGTTGTGCTAAATGGAGGCAAATAAAATTGTGCAAACGATAACATAAAAAAATAGTAACGAGATGAAAAGGTACAACACCCCGCAGCAACTGGCCTCCCCAGAGCATCTCGGGTACGACGTTCATAGGGAAGGACATGGACTTCCAGAGAAATGGGGGGTCCCTTCCTGAATCACCGCTTCATCCCCACCAAACCTATCCTCACCGAACCCTAACTCGACAATGCGCGACACGTACCATTGCTATCTGCCAGATGTCCGAATGGGAAATTTAATCTCAGGGATGGCAGTGGATGTCACCAGGCCCAACAGTGGGGAACGACAGTGTGCATTGTAGATCATGGTGGCGAGCAGTGGCGTCCAACGACGGGATTTGTTGGGGCAGGAAGGGTGAAACCGCGGGATATAGACACCCATCGCGTGCCATTCAGGTTAAGTCAAAAAGCTTCATTTGTATATCCAGGTGAGAAGTCAAGAGACTAGGATAGAGTCTCAAGTGCCTTGAGTGAAGGGGTCCTATAGATTATGAATCAGATTTGGAAGTCACCCGGGTCACCAAAATGACAACCAGCAAAACAGATACAATTCACAAGAGGACTTCAAAATTTAAATCGCTTAAAAAAATGCCCTGCAGCGCAAACCAACTCGGGCAGATTACGTACTAACCGAACAAAGCATGGGGCGGTCTTAGGATGTGGCGGGTGCCATTGGTGGGCCTCACCTGGATCTTAATGGCCACCCGGGTGCCGTTTGTGAGCGTGGCCTGGTGGACCTGCCCAATGGAGGCGGCCGCAAATGGACGCTCCTCAAACGAGGCCACGTGGTTCTTCCAGCCAGGCCCAAACTCGCTCTCCAGCACTTTCTGCGCAAGTACGAACGCACAGCACGCACAGCCACAGCACGCACACGCAGCACGCGCGCCATCAGCTCCGAAAGCCCCGATGTGGATCAGGGATCGGCGAGCGTCGCATCGCATGGCCAGACCCAGCTTCACAAGCAGCGGCATCGCACGACGTTTTAAACAGAGACTTGGCACACAGTGTGCTCTGGGCGGTCCGGCATGACTCGGGGTAAGCTCTCTTCACAAGATGTTTGTCTTGTCCATTTTTTTTCATGAAAAAATATATTCATACATTTTTACCACTTGGTTTTAATCAAATTATTCCTCGGGTGTTTTAGTCTAACTTCTGCTTGTGTGTTTATCAGCTCACAGAACAATTATATTTCAAAGTACTTTCCAACCCAGGCCCGTTAAAAAGGAGGCAATAACATGCGCGTAATACAACAGCAGGCAGCGCAGTTCAGGAGACGTGTGTTGTTTAGCGCCTATCAAAGTCAACACCATAACCGATGTTTTACCAAATTTAGGCTACCAAAACCTACAGGAGCCTGCTGGGGCCAGGTAGCGATACCAGGAGCCAAACGTTACGTTTTTACGATAACATCTCATTTGCTGCATAATCTCAAAATGCAATAATTGCGCAGAATTCGTACGAAATTGTGCATACCTGGATTGTACAGGCAAGGTACTTGCGTCGCGAGCACAGGAACACCGAAAATAACGTCAATGAATCGCTATATGCCTGTTGCAAAGTCGCATCACGTCCGCCAGAACGGCCCTGGAAGATGACGTCACATGATGCCTGGAGCCAATTAGAATCAAAACTAACAATTTTGGCAGCGTCGTCACCTGGAATTACAATTTGCATTGCGAATGCAATTACTTCCGAATGAAACTAAACTATTAAATAATTTATATGTTTCCAGGTAAGGTCCAGAGCTATATTGCTCTTTTACAGGCGACAGGGTCGGGATCGAACCCACAAAACTCCTGCATACCAGGCGAGGGAGTTAACGTCTCACCAATGCGGTGCCTAATGGCACAGTTGTAATTGTCATTTAAACCCGAGTCTGGATGACCTAAGAAGCGCCCCCCCTCCACCCCCACCCCCCCCCCACCGCGTGCGACAGTGACGGCAGCCGCTTGCCTTCATCTGCCACGTGGGCATGAAGTCGGCGTTCTGCCGCACGCGGTCAAAGATCTTCTTGAGCTGCGGGTTGATGAAGCCATCGTCTGCACGGGAGGCAGGGCGAGGCGGTGGACGGAGGGGTGGACACGAACGCAAAGCCACAATTACACACACACTGCTGGACCAAGCGCTGTTAGCAAGCACCGGAACACGAGGGGGTTGGGTATGGCGGGGATGCGGCACACCCAGCCACATTTGGCAGACTTGGTGGAACCAGGAGGTAGGTAAAAAGTACCGCGTTCAAACGTAATGCAATATAGAACACACGCCGATTAAACAACGTTGCTCAAGAAGGAAAGACGCTGTAGGAGTTGGGGAAGGGACACTCGGGAATGACACCTTGAGGATGCAGGTCCTCCTAAATCTCTCGCTGCTTTTCATAGCAAAAAAATAACCCACGACTCTACAAGCGAACTCACGAAGCATTAAGCGACGAGTTGTTTTACCATCAAACAAAAATTCTCCAAGCCGGTGGATTTGAAGCCGTGCGTGCGTGCGCTCAAAACGTTCCACGACAGCGTTTGGGATCTTGCACCCCCCCCACCACTCCCCCTCCGGATACAGCTCGTCCACAAATGGCACGACCGTGCACACAGTTGGGAATTAACACTGTGGAGAAACGCTCGGCCGGTCACACGAGCCCCACCTCCTGGCCCTGAACACCACCGGCCCTGAACCCCTCCAGCCAGTTCCACTTCCGCCACGCGCGAGCACCGTTGGTGGCACCACTCACGAGAGCCACGCAAGTCATTCGCCGATGTCCTCCGGTTTACGAGCGCAGCCAAGAGGATGTTGATCGCGCATACGGAGCGGAGTAATCCCCTCTAGAACAGTTGCAAGGACCTTGAGGGATAGAAGCCTTCGTCTAGCAATGGATAGATAATGGCTGCTGCTGACGACGACGACAAGAGGCGTACCTTGGATGCTGAGGATCTGGCCAAGCTTGAGGGCGGCGCCGCGCACCTTGCACAGCGTCTTGACGATACGCTCGGCGTTCGCCTCCGACAGCAGCGGACTCGAGTCCCACTGGCCCTTCTTCTCTGCACGCCGGCAACAACAACGACAAAACAAGCTTAGGGGGACAGTCCAAGAAGCGAGCCTTCTACTCCCGTTAGGTGACTAGGATACGTAAATTGGAAGCAGACGAACATAATTGCGAAAACGCGTCACCAAGCGGTGCGCAAGCACAAAAAAACCTCACATCTGTCAATAACAATGATGTTTCAAGCATAGGATTTCCTTCGTAGCCATGCACAATGGTCAGTTATTGCCCGAAACGCCACCGAGTTCAAATAGAAACGAGGATTTGGGTAGCGTCAAAATGCGACCGCACCTCAAGATATTTTACAAAAACAGTGCGCCTATTTACGGGCCAAGAAAATCGATTCCTTACACTTGAGAACCCATTTTGATCACGGTGCAGGCTGTGTTTCTGTCGCAGCCATGACCCAACTCCAAGCCAATCACCGGCAAACACCTCCGAGCGCGAGGCTTTTGCGCCGTTGCCACTGCCCGCGCGTTGGGGCCGCGTACCAACCGGAGATTTCCAGCGACAGGTGTTTGCGTCCCATGCTGGTGTCATGCCAAGTGTCAATGCCAACGTGATTTGAAAAGAAGCGCGATCACGTTCTCACGGCGTGGCCAGGAGCCCGGTGTTTGGCCCGGTTATCTCACAGATGCCCCCCCCCTCCCGCCGCACCTGTTTAAACCCCAGGACGCCTCCCCCCACTTGCGCTCCCCCTCACGAGCCGCTCGGAGAAACCGTCAACGCAGCCACGGGCCGGCTGCCGCCACCGCCAGACCCGACGCTTTACCGCCTCGGCCAGAGCGGTAGTAAATATTGCGCGCGACGATGCAGGCGGCTGCCAACTGGGCTATGATGACGGCGCCGTCGTCGTGGTGACCAGGGTAAATAAATTACAAACTCGGCCATGCGGAACCGGAATCCGGAATTAAGTTTGTCGCCTTTAACCAAATCATCATCGGATCTCGGAAGCCAAGCAGAGTTAAGCCTGGACGGTGCTTGGATGGGCAACCACCATACACACACACATTGCCATTCATGACTTTGGGGCTGGCCTACGTTGTGTGCGGGCAGCAGAGAATGCAGTGCAGCAAAAGTCCACTTTCACGCTCCCATGTTTATGCTCACAGCCTTCATGTTTCCTATTAACCTCGTTTTCTTTGTGCTGGCTGTACCATGTTGATACTCGACCGTTCCATTCGGGACTTGGCAATGTGCAGTTGTTTTTAGATTATTTTGTTTATGCGTTTTTTTTGCTGTAATCAGGTCTCTATGGTGTAACTAGGTCCACCATCATAAGTCAGCATTTATTGCCCAGTGAGTTTTACCTGTGCCAAAATAAAACCTAAAACCGGCACAGACCACCGTGGTGAAGTATGGTTACATAACCCCGCATACCCAAGCCACGGTGGCATGATGTTATCTCCATCGCCTTGTATGCTTGAGGCTGTGGGTTTTATCACGACCCTGACACCTGCTGTATATTTGGAGTTTGTATGTTCTCCCCGTGTTCACGTGGATTTTTCTCCCGGGTCCTCCGGTTTTTCCCTCCACATTTAGAAACATGCGTTTAGAGTGTGAGGCTGCTATCAATTTCCACGTGATAAGCCACGCCAGTAAACTATCATTAGTGGCCAGGTCGCTTCTGTAAAAAAATCTATAAAGAGCTATACATATATAAACATTCTTTAGTTTTATCGCTTACATTAATTGCAGTCGCAATTCCAGCTGAGGACGCTGCAGAAATTGATATAATTACAACTGCCTCAACAGTCCCAAGAAGTTGTCCTTCTCGTGCTCATCCCCCCAGTCTGCCGTGGCGTCCGCTGGGGTTTATTGAACGCTCGTGGGGCAGCATCGATCCACAGACAGAAAATCGATCCATGCGCTCACAGAAAGAGCATGGAATCATGCCCGGGTGAATTAATCATGGTTTGTGCACACTTTTGAACAAACGCGAGCCGATAGAACATTTACACTAATGTGGTGAGGCAAAACTTTACATGGGGACACAACAACCAGTAAAATTCTAATTGTCCCTAATTAGTGATAACTTATCGATTCGCTGGGGTGGAGAATGTGAATTGTTACACAAGGCGTGTTTATCATCATGGCCACCTTGAGGGAGGCTGGTTTATGGGACTTTTCCCGGTCGGTTGGCACTAAATGTGCCGAGGGTTGGATAATCATTAGCGTGACGTAGCTCCGTACCAAGAGCAGAATTCTGCGCCGCTAGAAGTGGCGAACACAGACCGACGCCAGTTTCTGCACATGCTTCACAACGATGAACAACAAGTATTGCCATCTTGGGTGGTATCAGAAGGAGCAATAATACAGGGGTCTGGGCCCAGACACAGATCGGGCATGGACCTCGGGTTTAGCAGGTGGCATCGCACCTCACGCCCGTGCACCGACACATTCCATCACAATTCCCGGCGTCTGTAAGCGCAGCATCAATAACAACACGATGGACGTGTTGGTGCCGAAGGTGACAGGCGGTGGTAACTGTGAGAATAATGGTAGTGGCGGCCACGGTGGTGCAAGGGCCTTGCCTTGTGATTTAGTGCTAGATCCCAGATGCTTCTTGGCGTAGTCAGTGAGAGCCCCGATCCCCAGACCCACAGCCAGGCCTGTGAAGACCGACATCGCAAGACACAAACAGCGCCATCAACGCCAACGAGAGACGCGCAGCCGAGACGCAAGTGCTGCGGTGTTGCCAAAGACAGTGTTTCACAGCTTAATCGCAATACCACAATGGCAATTGTGCCAGCCGAGGTGCACGTTCATTCAGGCTGAATGGAGGACAGACCTAATTAATAATATAGATTTTTTTTGGGTTCAGATCGCATAAATATTGTTTGTGCGACAAACCTTACTAATTGTCTGTGTCGGGTAGTGGCGGGTTTAACGGCACGTTTATTTTTGCGTCATCTAACCCAAAAAACCTGTATTATGGATGATATTGGTCTCGAAAGCCTGCATGTTAAACACACCTAATTGTTTTGGGGTAAACACTCAAGCATATGTACACACAAGTGTACATACAAGTGTGTAAAAACACACGTACAAAGACGACAAAGATCCCCATATAGCCTTCACTGACTATTGGGGAAAGTGCCGTTAGAGAACACCCATACATACTGACACGTACACAAACGCCTTTACTTTATTTGGATTGCGTGTCGGAGTTATGACACGTGCACCAATTACATCACGAGTCAAGGCGTCTCCGATAGGATCATGATGTCCGAGTTATGACATGTGCACCAATTACATCACGAGTCAAGGCGTCTCCGATAGGATCATGATGTCCGATCACACTGCAACGCCAAACACCCACGATTCGTAAACATCGCACAGGTGCAACAACATGTGCCTGTAGTCGGTGAGAGGGAGAAGGCAGCTGGGTGGAGAAAAGGGGGAGAGTGAAGGCGGAGCCGCCACAATGACGACAATGACGTCATCAGAGCAGACTAAACGAGAAGTCCTATTTATAGGCCAAACAGCAGTCACCGAAATCATCATGGCATTCAAAATCCTAACTTCCCCCAGCATATTGAGCACAGCCGACAAGATTTTGTTTATTCGAAAAACAGTACGATTTATTGTTCGTGTTGAGTTGCGGTGAAGCACGGAACAATTCGCCACCCCCGATATCCAATAAATAATCCCAACGAGGGGGTTCATAATAGAGGCCGACCGAAATTCGGTTTCGGCGCCGAAAGTTGGCAAATGGCCCCTTTCGGCATAGTTTCGGTTTCGGCCGAAAGTGAATTTTTTACTTTCAGTCTGGTTTCGTTTCGGCCGAAACTGATATTGACTTACGGTCATTCGTCAACCGAAGATCTATTTTTAGAATATAACGCTAGTGCTACGTCTATCACTCTGCCTATCGGCCGGTCAGTCGGCACGAGGCAATCCTATGCGATAGGCTGCAAACACACACACACACACACGTACACACAAACACGTACACACACACACGTACACACAAACACACACAAACACACACACACGTACACACAAACACACACAAACACACACACACGTACACACAAACACACGTACTCACAAACACACATACACGTCAGCAGCAGCAGCTTGGGAGCGAGGTTACAGCCGCAACCATGCTCTGCTAAGGGGTCATCCATAAATTACGTCATGCACCTAGGCGGGGTCAGACATTTTTGACGATGTTTGACGAGGGGGGGGGGGGGTTTGAGAAATGTGACATCACATCAAAATGCGCAACTTTAAATAAATATAGACAACACGTATTCTTGGCTCTTTCGGTAAAGTCACGTAGAAGGGAAACAATAAAATAAAAAAATATAGTTTCCCTTCTACGTGACTTTACCGAAAGAACCAAGAATATGAATCCCTGCAGTCACGAAAGCTTTAAATCAAAATATAGACAACATGTTCTACTTAATTAAATAGACTTGTTAATAAATGTTTTCTCCTACAACATCAGTGCAGCGCCACATTAAATATGCACTACAATGACAATAGTTTAAAGCGATTTGAAGCATGTTTTATTTTTTTGGGGGGGGGGGGCAGAGCTTTGTGACGTCATATTTGAGGGGGGGGGGTCTGACTTTTTGTGACGCCGTGTGACGAAGGGGGGGGGGGGGTAAAAAAATCGTCCAAAATTGCGTGACGTCATTTATGGATGGCCCCTAATGTATATACGACCAGTCAACAGACTGTCTGGCTGAATGCGGAAAAACTGTTGTTTCTTAACTACAACATTCGTTTGTTTGGATATAATTACTAAGTAACACCTAAAGATTTGTTATTTAGCAACTCTTACTGCAGGCTCTGAATGATTAGTTCTAGATTTATTTTTTATTAAAGTAGCATTGCATCATGACATATTTAATAAATGTTGTGTTCGGTAACTTCGGTTATATACCTTTCTGTTTCGGTTTCGGCTGAAAGTGTAGTTGAACTTTCGGTTTCAGCTTCGGTTTCGGCCGAAAGTCAATTTTTAACTTTTGGTCTGGTTTTGGCCCGAAACCGAAATTCAGTTTAGGTCGGCCTCTCATTCACAGCCCCAAAAAAATATATATTAAAAAATCGATCGGTTTTCACCACGCATGTACCCGCCTCGTTTTTGTTCTGGTGGCCCAATGGCGACACTCGCACACGACGTGCAAATAATTTGGAGAAGTCTCAATGAGCGGTCTAGCGCGCGGTCAGATTGGCGTGCGGTGCGTTCCGAGAATCAGTTGGGCACCGACGTCATCGTCGCGACCCACAGACAACGCTGCGACCGCCGCAAACGACGCACCACCCACCACAAGCTGTCCACGCATGAGCAAACGTTCATAAAAATAAATACAGAATCAAACACGACGACACCAACACCATGCACCAGCAGCTACACTCCCCCCCCCACCGCCGCCTCCCCAGAGAGGGGGGAGAACTCGTTTTAGCTGAACTCATGTCCCATCTCCCATTACTCCAAAAACTCTGTCCTCCTGGCAACTCTGGCAAAACACTCTGGGGGGGGGGGGGGGGGTGCAGGTGGGGGGCTGTGGGGGCAAGAGTAGGGAGGAGGGGCAGCACTCACCGCCGAAGTTGGCGAGGCGTGCGATGCGCGTGGACGGGACGGTCCTCTCCCTCGCCTCATTGTGCAGCTGTCACGTGAGAAGAGCGAGAAGGCGAGAGGGTGAATAAGCGAATTTGAGCGAGTGTGCGCTCGAGTACTTGAAGGGAGTGTGCGAGCAAAGGAGCGAGTGTGCACGCGCGAAGTTAGGGGAGTGAACGGACGCGTAATAGGGCATGCAAGTATGACAGCGGTGAGTATACAGGTGAGCGAGTGTGCGAGTCTGTATGCGAGCGAAGTATAAGAGGAAACAAGATGATCGAGTGTGCATGGGCGAGTATGCGAATCAGCGAGCGAGCGCGGTGAATTAGTGAGTGACAAAGTGCACGTACGAGTGAGTGAGCGAGCAAGTGTGCGAGTACGTGCACGTGTGAGCGATTGAGAAAATGAGTATGCAAATATGCAAGCTCGTGTACACAACTCATCCACACGCCAACACGTCAGAAGGCAGCCTTCACGTCACCAGACTTCCAACACATCACCAGACAGCCAACACATTACCATACATACTTCATACCACCGGACAGCTAACAAAAACCAAGAAACAGCTGTACAATGGGGCCTGCCGGCAAAGCTGAAAGTCATACAAAAATCAAAGCCCAAAACAACGAGCGACAACTGATCCTCAAAAATCTTGCAAAACGTAATCCTTCAAAACAATTGCCTGTTCACATGAACACCCCTGCGTGTGTTTGTTTACACAAGGCAAACCTTCTACAGGTTTCGACTTCACCTGGCATCATCAGCAGGGCGCGGCCTCTTGAGCCAATGCTAGTGAGAAAACGTCGCGTGCATGCCATGCAGCCTTTAGGTCGAGTGGAGCGGACTCGCCAAGACAACGCGTCCACCTGTGCAAGGTAGCCCTGGCAGCCACAAGTTGTGACCTGACCATTATATTGGTCGTTTTTGCTTTGTTTTACTCTCTTTTATTTGTATTGCTCTTGCCATTTTGGCAAACTGGGTCGCTCTTGCAAATAAAACGCCAAAGATGTACGACCGCTCCAATTGTCTCACAGCCACAATCACGGAAAGGTGTGCACCCCGTTATAATGTAAATGTGCAGCCCTGCAATAACTTGACGCCACCACTACTGGCAGACGGGCCTCCACTAGAGGGCCTTCTAGACAGCTCTTCTCTACAGAACGATCAACTCTGGTGAACCCATTGATACTTGTGGGTAAATATAGGTGGGTGGGGGGGGGGGTATGTATTTAAAAAAAACTTGTCCCATTTATTGCATCGCCGAGAGATTGAATCGAACCGGTGACCTATGGATTGCAGAATCTGGCTTGCGAACCGTTATATACCACGACGGCGTCCCATCATCACATCTTATGAAGCCAAAGCCGACATCGCAAAACGGCAGCAAATAAACCCACAACATTCACAGCGTCCCTCTTCACCACCATCATGGGATCACAAATAAATGACACTAATTTCGACCTCCAGTCTAGCGTTGCGGGATTGTCCCTGTGTGGGGGTGACCTGGTTGGGTGTGGTCTTAGAGGGACGGGATTTGGAGCCACTAGCCCTCGGGCCCGTGGTAGTGGTGGTTTCCTCCTCGACCCCTGCGGGAGTCCGGGTGGGGTCCACGTCACGGTGGAGGGGGCGCTGCCAGCCGGCCCACGCAGGGGTCCTGGGGACAACACAACACGGGGGGAGGGGGGGGACACTGTGATGAAGGGGACAGCTCGGAGACACCACCACACAAAGGGAAGACAGAGGCTCCGTGGAAGGGACCCGCACCTCAGTGTCCTATGCACAGAGACAATGCCGCATGTATGAGATGGTTGTCCAAGTGTATAGTGGTTAGTGCACTCCGCTACGAACCAGGCAACCCGGGTGCAATTCCCGCAGATGACCAATAATAGTGGTGAATAGTTGAAATGGACCTGGGGCTCCCCTAGGTCGACTCGGCCTCAAATGAGTAAGTGGTGCGGTGTATAATCATCGCCACTTGGGAGACAAAGGCAGCCGGGCACGGTGCTGGCCACCCACCCCCTCATTTAGTGCCAGCCTTCATTAGTTCTCGCTCACAGCACTTGCCCCGACAGTCTATCAAGGCTACATTGTGGATCTTTGTCTTTGGGGTGGTGGGATTTCAGTGGCGAGTGGTCCCGACTTGAATCTGAAAATATGGAAATCAAATCCTAGACTGGGGACAGCTTGGCCAACAATCCTTCCAGGTTTGAGGAAAAGCACTGCGGGAACCCCACAATGATTTTCCTGTGGATAGGCCTGCCTGGTAATGAAAATGTGGAAGTTCCACTCCTGGCCCAGGTCCAACAAAGTAAATGAGTGCCACGAAATTGCTCATTTGAATTGGCAAACGTTCACCTGGGGCTGTCCCGTGACCTCCTGCCAGCATTGCTTTCACCACAACTTCGTGGCAAATGGTGTTTTTTTGTTGTTATTGCACGTGATGCTGGCGTCTATTTGCGTGGGACATGAGTTACTGTTGGTGCCTGTGTGCACACGTGTGACAGTGATGTCTACGTTCGTGACGGTGGCGTCTGTGTATGTATCAGTCGGTGGCATGTGTGCGTGCGTTCTTTCACACACGTCGTTTACAGCATAGCTCTCCATCGTCATCATAACTCGGGCCCTCTGAAACAAGCGCAAGTTTTATCGGCGTCATTACCGGTGCAGACCGGTGTCCCCTTGTCCCCCGGGTCCACGGGGGTTCAGACCCCCAGCAAACATGCGCCCGCCCAGCAGGCTCCTCCTCAGCAGCACCTCTGCCGACATGGTGGCGGCGGTGGCGTGGTTGCAAGCTCGCAGAATTCCGTCCTCTCACAGTCTGCCAGGAGCCACCCTCTCCTGCCGGATTGGAACACAAGCGGCGTGGACAATGCGACGCGGTTACCGCGAGGCAGCGTAACCGGTGTCACCGTCGCTCCGGAGTGGTGGCTGATTTAAGAGCCGGGGGACACGAGGCGCCCACAGTTCCCAGACCGACAGCTGTGGGGTCGGCAAGGTCACCTCTGTCTTCTTAACTATGTATAATAAAAATAGCAAACACTGTCAACATTAAAATGGCACCAGCATATTATTCAACACGCAAGTATCGTTATTTTAAGGTTGTGGGGAGAAGTGATATTACAAACGAGAAGTATAATAGTTACATCATAACCATTGCCACCATTACCATATCATTAAAATCACCACCACAAGCATGTTTATAATATTGATGTACGGTGACAGCAGCGAGATGAAAAATCCATTCATTAATCCCAGCCGTACGCTCCGTGTGCCGGACAACTACAGGACGTAATCCTTAAAAAGTCGATTTTCTATAATTTGTTCAACTAAATTATTTTTTTTTACTAGGAAAGGCCCACTGAGTTATTAGGTATTTTTTTTCATAAGCGACTTGGACACACATTACAGCTCAAGTGGCTTATGTGGAAATTTATAGCAGCCAAATACTGTAAACGCATGTTTCTAAATGGAGGGAAAAACCGGAGGACCCGGGGGAAAAATACACACGACCGCAGTAATGAATGGGCAAACTCCAAATATACAAGCGTCACGGTCAGGATCGAACCCACGACCTCCTGCATCCCAGGCGAGGGAGATAACACAATTGTCACCACATGACTGCACGCCGATATATACATTACATTTTTAGTTTATTCTCAAGGATTCATCTTCTTTGGTTCTTTCGGTAAAGTCACGTAGAATGAGAATAAAATAATAAATTGATAAAATAAAATAACACAATAATATTCTCACGACGTTTCGGCCACAACACAAGCGGCCTTCATCAGGTGAAGGGAGCGAGACTGTCTGGTAGGAAACGTCGTGAGAATATTATCGTGTTATTTTATCTTATCAATTTATTATTTTATTCTCATTCTACGTGACTTTACCGAAAGAACCAAAGAAGATGAATCATTGCAGTCACGAAAGCTTTAAATCGAAATTTATTCTCAAGGAGTTTATCATTTCCATTAAATGAGGTTCAGACCCAAATTTTAAATGTGGTGGTGTTTTTTTGGTGACCTTGGAGGCTGGGACCATGAACTCGTGACTGCAATTGAGAATACAATGTACTCACGGGCCGCTGCCTTAAAAACCGGGTTCTGATTGGTGCAGGCCACCACCTCAAGCGATAATCCACGTGTGACGGTGTTCGCCACCATCAGCCTTATATTATCGTAAGCCATTGTTAATTGAACTGCTAGATGAGGGCCTCCACCCACACCCCTCGCCATTCCTCACGATCCAGTGGTGGGGACCTTACATCTGCACACGAACCGCGGATCTCATCTCCTTGGTGGTCACCTTCCTGGGTCGAGTTCCCTTATTCGGCTGCCACTCCGCCAGCAGTCTCGTCCATCCCCGCAATGTGCCGTGCCCAAGGCCCTTACCACCAATACAAGCTGCTCTGTCACCACCACGACTATCACCATAACACAGCCATGAACGGCTCTCATTAAGACGATCAACCACCATCAGCACCACAACCACCTAGTACTGCTCATTGAAAGGTCAGTGATTTCTTGCTCAATCGCAGCATTGAGGCGGTGGTCATTTCCAAGTTACAGTACCCGATCTAGTGGTGGAAAAAAGCTTCAAATCAAGATTAGTGGTTTAAAAAGCCACTTCCTATGAGAGGGCAAGTCTATCCACACGAGAGACTTTCCCACAAAGTAGTATTGTACGTATTATATCGACCAAGAGTGATGGGGCAGAGTAAACCCCCAACTTTAACTAGAAACATTTCGCTTGCGAGACGCTCGTTCTAGCACCGAGACACCAGTCACAATCCCTTACCAGTGCCCTAACTTATTACAGACCAATTCGGGCCCGATTGGTCAACCCCGTGCCTTTATAAATCTCAACGTTCGTCCTACAAAGTCCATCGCAAGGGAGAAACGCAAACTAATAAGAAACAAAATTGTGCCGGCATTGGAAACGGCTGTCCGCCGTATGGACCTGAAAACTACAATTTCCCTGAACAAGAATACGCGACAAACCGTGTGGGGTTGACAGGTATGATGTTAACGTAACAAAGACACTGTCATCATCAATCATCACCACCAACACCAAAAAGTGTAAACAGCGTGTTGGGACAACTCTGTACAACGTTGGGATCGATTAATCGATTACAGAGAGCGATACGGAGGTTGTTTTTCGATTCGTGAATATTGTTGCGTCATTGCTTCGCGGCTCTGCCCGAAGGCCACTCGGAGGCCCGCCTGGACTCGCGACAAGTTATACGAATCGTAAACTTTGTCGCGAGTGCCGTAAGCGCATTTACTCGCAAAACAAACAAACACAAAATCACGTTCATTAACAAAGCACACGACCATCGCAATAATGGTCCCTTATCACGCGCACACGATTGTGTAACATTCACGGTAACGACATCGAAAATAACGCTGCAACAATAACACGGCTTGGAGTGACAATCGCCACGTAAACAACAATAATCAATCGCCACAACAATCGTGCAATCAATAAATTACACCCACTTACACCAAGCAATACAATCACGACATTGAAAATAAACACCGCAACAATAAGCCACTGGAGTTATAATCACAACAACAATCATGCAATCAATAAAATCAACCACCACAATAACATCAAACCATACATCACAACATTCACAGCAACCACAAACCACTGCAAAATCGCAAACACCACCACAATCATAATCACCACCAACAACAACAACAACCGCACGATCAATTAAATCGCAACCACACAATTACGTCAAAAACCATTCGCAACCACCGCGTAACAATTCCAAACAACACCCCGTTATTAAATAATCATCACAGACCTCACCACAACACACACGACCAACAACCACAAACAATCTGACTGCGCACGTGCACGGAAACATTATCAGACAAGGCCCGGCCTATCCCAGAGGCCAATTTCACCGCAGATACTGTATACATTAAAAAAAGACACGTTCAAAAATATTTACAAATACACAAATATGCACACGCACACAACACACAACACACGCACGTAAAATCGCATACGCACAGAAAGCGCACGCAAAGATACGAACACTCGCGTTAGTACAGAGACACACCACGCACACGTTAAAACAAACAAACCAGACACACAAAGAATCCACGAACAACACAAAACAAACACACAAAGACACACAAAGACACACTCAAGGACGCTGGCGGCACGCGCGAAACACCAGAGGTGTCCACACCTCGCTACGAGTCGCCCTGGTGAGACCCAGCCTGGGCCCGAGGAGGCGGGGTTGACGATGTGGATGCCACCCGGCCCAGCCAAGCCCGGTTCAATCCCGCTCCTAGGGCCAACCCGACACAAAACCCCGATTCGAGACGGCCCCAAAACCTTCCCGCTGCACGAGCACGATCGCTTAACCCCTACTGGATGCGGCCCAGCCCGGGATATCCAACCAGAGACCTGGCCCGATCTAGTCCAAAGCTTAAGGGGTGCCGTAATTATATTGTCGGTCAGAACGGCCCCAGTACGGCCAAGTGCGATCCGGCTTTGCCCCAGCCGAGCTCAAATCCGACGCAGCCCAACTTTCACTCAGTAGGACCCCGGTCCAACCCAGCCCCAGCTCCTTCTACCTCGACCAATCCAGCCTCAGCCTAACCCGAGAAGCAACAACCCCCCTCCTCCTCCTCCTCCACCCAGCCAGGCCAACCTGAGCCCCCCCCCACCACTCCCTTACCCGCACGGGGCGTGTAGCAGGCGGGAGCGAGGGAGGCCGCTGCCGTGTTTACGCGACCCTCGAGCCCTGGCGGCGGCCACCACCACCCACCACCACCCCCACGGTTCCCGCGCTCGCAGCCACGGGGCTACGGAAACCGCCCTCGGGTGACGTCGTCCGCGGCTGCCGACCAATGAGCGACGGGCGCTGTGCGGCGTCGTCCCGAATTAACGCTGCGCGAGTTGGGCGCCGCCGTCCAATCGCGGAGCGGCGCGCGTGCGCTCCGGGCTATTTTTAGCCTGTTTCCGGGCCCGCGCGCGCTGCCCCGCCCCTTCAGGCGTGAGCCCCGCCTCTTCAGGCGTGAGCCCCGCCCGGCTCGTCGGTTAGCCCTGCCCCTTGGTGCTCTCAACCCCCGCCCCGTGCACGCGCGGTCACGCCCCCTTTTCTCGTTAAGCTCCACCCACGTCACGCTTCTCAGCTCTCGTGTTTACGGTCGAGTATTTAATAATTTCAATCGCAAGTTACCGTACTTTATATGCCGATTTAAAAGAACAAAAAAAACAGTGGTTCTTTTCAGGTTCCATGGTGTAAAGGGCAATCTTTCGGCTCGTGTACACTCCCTCTGGCCGCCTCACATTGATGTCCTATGAAGGACCATTGCCCGAAACGTCGTCCACTATATTGTTTTGCTTTGAAGGTCACCGTGTTATTGACGAACGTGTTGCGTGTTGTTATTGTGCACCACTGCTAACGCAAACCTCCGATTCGCACCGTTGGCTACGTACGGTGCGAAAAAAGTTCAACATCCTGTTGTTGTTGACGACGCAGCATCACCGAGCAAGCTGCATTTGAACTTGTCCGCTTAATTTAGTTTCGCAGGGCGAGAACTCGAGAATTTGAGGATACGTTCTGATTTGCCAGAGTGACCTGGTACTTCCACTGTCACAGTATCGTGTGCTATCAAGAAACATTGCCTGTTACTTTGCCCTTATAAGGACACACACAGCGTTTCTTAAGGATGCTTGTCCCAAACTAGCCCCGCCCCTCTCCCAACATAGCCCCGCCCCTCTCCCAACATAGCCCCGCCTCCGAGACGGCCCCCGCCCCTCCCGGAACCTGGCCCTGCCCCTCCCCGAATACGGCCACGCCCCCATTTTGACCACGCCTCCCAATCTGACCCCCGCCCCCGAAACCAGCCTCGCCCCCTCCTCCCACTTCCCCCCCCCCAGCCCCGCCCCTCACCCCAAGCTGTGTGCACGTGGGCGGGTTGACACAAACACAGCGCTGATTAAAGGCGTTGTTAATTTCCGGAAGATGGGCGAAATACTTTTAAATTGGAGTACAAATTACTGGAGGAAATGTAATTAGGTACAATTGACCAATTAACCAATTACCTTTAAGTGTGTAATTTAAATACCAATGATTAAGGACATTTTCTGTGCATTTCAATTACATATTGTTTAGACACCGCTCCGCATGCATTTAGACGAATGAATGCGCTCTCCTATGCACGTCATATATTGTTCGTTCGTATGTTCGTGAGCGGTGGGTAGCAGCGGATTTGGGAGGCCTTCAGCAGTGGATTGACCATGGCGCATAAGAAACAATGTACTTGGTCATATGTTTTGTACAGCCACTTCTGATTGATGGCCTTCCCACTACGCCCTACGCCACCATGCATTCGTGGGGTGGGTTAAATTACCATACTTCACCACGCTGGTCCATTGTGGGTTGACGGTGACGGTGGAGAGCAGCGTGGGCGTTGGAGCAACGTAGCCCATCCCTTTGAACATCATACCACAATGAATATCGTACGAATGACGGCTGCAACTTAAGCGGGGCTCAAGATGAATGAGCGGAACACAAAAGTATGTTTCGATTTAAAGCTTTCGTGACTGCAGGGATTCATAATCTTGGTTCTTTCGGTAAAGTCATGTAGAAGGGAAATAATACAAATAATACAAATAAACCAATACAATTCTCACGACGTTTCGATTGCAACACAAGCAATCATCATCAGGTGTGAAAACCACAGCAAGAAAATTTGAAAAAAGTGGCGGTTTTTTTCTTAACTTAAGAAAAAAAGGCCACTTATATCAAAATTCTACGGGACTTTACCGAAAGAACCAAGAATACAAAAGTACTTGTTGGTGGGACGTGACTGGAAAAACATCATTGCAGCACTGTATGTGTGCCATACGTTTGAGAAGTTCAGTCGGTCGGTGTATTTCGGGTCGGTTCCATTGAGCCAAGAGAGTTATCTCTCGGTAGCGATGTGCCGGCCAAAGCGGTTGGGCATGTACCGTGGGAAGGGAATCGAACATGAGCAGGAGGGACATTGCATAAACCTGACAAATAACAATGATTATAAACAACCGGAACTATGTACAATGGAAATCTAGCAAGCAATCCAAAGTAACATTATGCGTTACGCTGCTCAGAGGAACCCACGATGAGGCATTTAAAAATCGCAATATTTACAATGAGCGTTTCCCGTTATGTTTAAACTGTCTTTCCAAAAATAGCGCGCTCAAATCAAGTTCCAGTCACAGATGGCTTTGTTAATGGAATTCTCACAAGGTTATTGACTGCGATAAAAATGATGCCAATAGGGGCCGACGAGCGAGCAGATTGTGGTGGTGTTTGTGGAATGACTGTATTTGGTGGTGCTGCTGCTGCGTTTGCAGTGGTGCACAAGCACTTATCAACAACATCAAAAACATCAACCCGTTCGTCAATCACAAAGCCTTAAAAGAAAAATAATCGGTGACGTTTCGGGCAATAGCCCTTCCTCAATGGCCCCGTCGCCGATTATATAGTGTATATATTATTTTATTTTAAGGCAGTGTTGTTGCTGCAGGAGTGTGCCCGAGTGTTTTAATCATGAAAAGCAACGTAACGTCGTGCGACAAGAATTAAGCGTTTAAATTGCGGTGCGTAACCTGCTGCGACGAATGACATCATCAGCACGATGGGCATGGAACGGAAAGGAAACTCGAACGAAGATGAACGTTGCAGGGAAGCGTCACGAGCAGTGCCGGATTAAGCTAGTGCGGGGCCTGTAGCATATGTTATGAAGGGGCCCTAAATAAAATAAAAAACAGATAAATATTCAAACACAAATTTGTAACTTGCATAGTAAAGTAATTGTATTTTTTCATTTCCTATACAGCCAGATAATACGACAAATCGCTAAACTTAAACACCAACACCCAGTCGTTCATAAATGTTGAAGGCGGTATAGTACTATAGTAATAAAGCAAGTGCAGAATCACTGAACCGGAATTGATAGCTTGAAAGTATTTAGCGCGGGGCCCTTGAAAGTGCGGGGCCTGTAGCTGCTACATACGTAGCTACTTTTTCTACGACGATAATCCTGCATTGGTTAAGAGGAACACCTGGGTTAGATCGCGCGGGTTACCATGCCAATCACTGGCGGAGCCAGTGGGGATGGGGTAGCACGTGCCCCCCCCCCCCCAAAATGATCTGATCGAAATCCCTAATTTCGATGAGATCATTGGAGTTTATTAGCAATAAATCGGCATTTTGCGACCCCCACTGCCACTGTGTAGCATATTATTACGTGCCAGGGATTCTATGAGATGATAGGACAATAGTCTGAGTCCATAATTGGCAATAAGTAACGGCAAAGCAGTTATGAGTGACTCACAGAATTGTGCGCAGTTGCGTATACAGTACACGACTTCCCTGAAGGCATCAACACCTTCAGCGAGCGCGATGCCGATCACACAACGCGGTTCGAATTCGACCCTCGATCGATGGCTGTACCATCGCCGCACACGCGTCGAATAAAAAGCAAGGGACAAGTCCTCACTTACTAACAACTCTTCTATCATTGTTCATTGCTGGAGGGGTTGCCCCCTCTACCTGAAAATCCTGGCTCCGCCATTGATGCCAATAATCGTGAGTTCACACTTGGTCACGCCGGCTGGTGGTGTGTCAATCAACGCCGCCAGCGCAATAACGCGGGCAGTTAGTTCCCAGTCATCCTGTAACAACAACAACAACGTGGGATGGAGGATTCATTTGTGCTCGCTGGCCACTTCCAACGCGCCCCTGCTGCCGCCGCGTGGCGCACACGGGGTTCGCGCGAAGGACAACACATTGAATACAAAAAAAGCAGCTCGATAGAAATTCGTTTTCAATCTAAATTTCAAAGCGCTTATCTCCAGTGGCTACTTAATATCGGAAGGAAGAGCGTTCCAGACGGCCGCACCCTCCCCGTTCCCGGGGTACCCTGATGCCGAGGGCAGCTGCAACACCCTCTGAACCCAGTGTTCTTCGCTGACTTTTATAGGGCCGCTACACATGTGAAGCCATTGGGTTTGACAGCACGATGGGGTTACGTCAGGAGCCGCACTAAAGACCACCAGGGTCCACCAGTGTCCCGCGGGCCTTGCGGTGAAGAACACCGTTCTATCTTCTTTGGTTCTTTCGGTAAAGTCACGTAGAATGAGAATAAAATAATAAAATAAAACAATGAAATTCTCACGACGTTTCGGCCACAACACAAGTAGCCGTCCTCGTGTTGTGGCCGAAACGTCGTGAGAATGTCATTGTTTTATTTTATTATTTTATTCTCATTCTACGTGACTTTACCGAAAGAACCAAAGAAGATGAATACTTGCAGTCACGAAAGCTTTCAATCGAAACACCGTTCTATCTTGACCCCTCCCCGCTCCCCACTTTCCATCTGTCCTGGAATCCCTGCGTGACCCCTCTATGTGCCACACCTCTACTGACCGATGCCGCTGCACTGCAGACACTTGGTGGTGGTGGTGGCGCGCGCGTGCGCGCGTGCACGTGAATCCGGCTCCTTTTCGGAGACGAGGATTGGTGGATCGTGCCGAGAATCGCGTGGTATTCCCAAACCGCGCTTGCCTGCAAGCGATGGCGACGGTCGCGAGACGGCGGTACAGAAAGCAGATTCGCGAAC